TATTTACTCTGCATTAGTTTAGTTAATAAACATATATAACCATATGTCCTTGTCGGTGCAGGTTTGATTTTATGCGGGGAAATCGAGGAATCGTGTAAAAGAATTCACTACTTCAGAACATGAGACCTGAATATAGATTTTGAGATTTGAATAAATTGATTTGAAATTGAATTTGATTAGATCTGTTGAATAATTTCCTCCCGGATTATTCCAGCCAGCTAAACACACGGAGGTGGTGCCCCATTTACGAGTGTATTATTAATCTTCAGTGATTAATTATCTTTTATTATTAAGTAGTGTAACCCCTACAAGATCTTGAAGACATTTTCCTCATAACTAACCTAGGGTATATGTCATCTACCAAATAATACCTACACCTTGAGCCAAAGAAAGAAAAAAAACATTTAAATGTAAACTTTTATTTTTTTTCATTTCATGTGGCAGCATGTAGACCATCATATAGGGTAGTGGTTCCCAACCCGGGGGGCAGTGCTCCTTGAAGGAGTCACAAGATAAGTCATTGGTGTTGTCACTTGATGAACAGGATAAGAAAGATGACAAGCCTAGTTCTGATAGCAGGGCCGGCTCTAGCCATTGTAGTGCCCAAGGCCACAATAGGATTACAAATAGCTGACTGAATTTACATGCTTCAGAGAGTGGTGCAGATGGGAGATCAGATGTCCCTTCTCCAACAGCTGGGGGCTTCTGCAAACATTTCCCGAGTGCACCTAAACACTACGAAGTAGATATTAGCCTATAACGAGCATATATAGCTGCAGAGTAGGACACACCACTGATACTGGCCAGTAGAATTTCAGCACAGTGCTTATGTAACCAATGATCCAGGATACTGCCTATAACTGCACAATGCTTGTACACTGTATACTATAATATATGTACTACATGTGTTTGTTTCTTACCATAATGGCCTTAGGTCTAGTGAGGCACAGTTCTGTGAGATGAAGACAAAGTGTTGGCAGTCGTAATGTGCACCACAGCTTCATTCCATTTCTCTCTGTCAGTTGGTTTCACTGTCAGCAGAGAGGATGAGTTGATGAGATAATTATATTTCACAAAGAGATCAAACCATCTCTGAACTCTCATTAGTGTTCATCCATGAAAGAGCCTCGGGTTGCATTTTCACTAGGAGGATTTAAAAGAAAGACCAAACGAATTTCCCAACGTGGGATAATAAAGTTCATCCAAATCTGAATCTGTTGTATTTATATGTACGCGTACAGAATAGAAAATAATATAATGACATATAATGTATGACTATGCTTGTATTAGAAAACAATTTACTTATTGTGTTTTGTTTTTTATTGCCATACTGTAAAGTTCTTTGAAAGGTGCAGTATAAATAGTTATTATTATATAACAACGACAAGACCAACATCAAGAACAACAATGACAATGATGACAACAACAATAAAGTTTGTCGGTGGGGCTGAGGTCTCTCTGCGTGGAATTCACATGTTTCCAGTGTCCTCCCACAGTCTTAAGACATGCAGTTTAATTGGTGGCTTTAAATTGCCCCGTAAGTGTGAGTGTGAATGGTCAGTCCTGTGATGGACTGAAACCTTGTAAAGAATAAGGTTATAGATGATGGATGGGTAATATTTCGTGGCACAATATAGCAAAATATAATTGAAAATGAGCTTTAAGTATGGTCTAACAGGCCTAAATCAAATAAACATTTCTATTTAATAGTGTACATGGTCCTTTGCAAATAAATAAATAAATAAACAAAATGGAATATAAAATATAATTCTTTCAGCCTTCTATTGATTATAATATGTCACTCCCTTGTTTAAGTAATAGTCTTAAGCACTGAAAGGGAACCATCCACCCACTCAACTGAACATCTGACCCTGTTGGTCATTTTGAATACATATTGCCATGTAAAATAAAGACATTTTAAATGTGTACAAACCCTACAGTGTGCTTTGGATTGGTTTAGGAGGAGACTTGCATTTTAATTTTCTTTTACTATTTTTTCTTGCTGTTGCTACGTTTCAGTGGGAACGCTCTGAAATTTAGGGTTTAAGGACCTAAGGGCAATAGTTAAATGTGTGCTGCACCCTTTGACCAAATCAGATCAACAGTTATGACTGTGATGGGTGGAGATACCTGTCGATCAAGTAAACACACACATACTTCTTTTGTAATATCAGCTCTTTCTAATCGGCACCAAGAAACACATTAAAAGAAACCAAATTAACTGTTGAGACCTTAACTTCCTGTGGGGGAAAAATATTATTGCTGTTGCCAAGCAACTGTATCAACTAATTGTTCATGCCTAAATAGCATGAAGAAGATGATACGAGAGAAACCAATTTCGAGAAATCCCACTTGCTTTTATCTTTTCATCAAGGCTTCCACTCTGTAGCATCAGCACTTGCGTTGATAGACCACACAGAGTTACACTTTCTTTCCAGTTCTCATCCAATAAACTTTAAATCAAGTGTTTGGCTCATATACATACAGTACTGTGTAATTGTGGTACAGAATGTCCATGTGTATTATCATTGGTCTAGTTCCTGCAACAATACTTTAATTACTTCAAATAGCTAGTCATTTATTCTGATCTAGTTGTTAAAAGGAGCAGTCTGGTGTTATTCTATATTTTTCTTATTGTCAACAAATTAACAATGTGCTAGTCCCTCTCTCACTCTCTCAATATTCTCTGACTTCCCCACCGTGTCTCAGGCATTAGATCTATGTCCATTGGTTCCTACTGAAAACACAAATGTAAAGCTTCAATTCCAAGTCTGAGTAAAACAAACAGGAGGAAATTCACTGTCCTACAGTCCAGCATTAAAACCTATTTGTTGATACAGCAGCTTACCCGGCAGTTACACTTCCGCTTACAAGTGCCTTCTCTGCCACTAAGTCATGCCACCAGTCTTTATCTGACTGTCGCAGCAATGTGCTGCCGCTGTTCCTGACCTGATGTAGAATGTATATGAAATACATATCATTGCCAACTCGTGGCTGTCGGTACCCCAAAGTCATATCTACCCTAGGGGTCCACCAGTGCGTGAAACAGTTGAGTTTGGTTTGGGTTTACAAGAACTACTTGTTTAGGATTACGAAAAGGTTGTAAATTACGTTACATACCTGACTTAACGTATGTACATTACTTAAAATACATTGTTTACTTTTGGTTTCACACAGGACACCAACAGTGATCTCCTGGGTTAAAGTCCTGTGTTTGTTTAAGCCATCCATCCACCCCACCATCTCCATATGTAGACTTTCTCGCGGGGACCCACAGCATTATAGTTTGAAGTGGAGGGCTACTGACCAAGCAGCAGTATTTCACAAATAGGGGGTGAGACCAGGTTGATATGTTGACTTAGAAGTTTGGTAATTAAGGAGCTAAAACTTGCTGCTAAGACTGCTGTATGGTCCTTTAAACTGATAAAATCGGCCCTACTCACATGTTGTAAAATAATTATTCCCTTTTGTTCCCATCAGATCAAATTGTGAGATAACAGTGTGTTTGTATTTGCTATAGGTGCAGACAATGCTGAGTCCCTTGCTGATGACTGGGGCCGCAGACGACCCAGAGGTGTGGAGGTAAATTATTCACACATGATAAAACCATTGTAAACAGCATTGGCATCCCCCGGGCTATTGCTGTAGCTGTAATTATATTTTAGATCTGAGTGGCGCAGTGCTGCTGGGCATACAGAGTGCTGCTGGGTGGCATTTCACTTTACGCCGAGAAGCTAATTGTGTCAGAGGTACAGTATGTGATAAGAGCAAGCCATTAGTGCTAATTACTTTGTTGAGTTCAAAAACAAAAGCCAGGTAATTAATGGGTATGTAATCTAGTGATGTGATATGAAAGAACACATTAAATCTGACATTTTTAATTCTAATTAGCCAATACCTGCAA